ACTCTTGCGGTACTGACATTTGACAGATCACCTTCGCATACGTTTTTGTCTACGCGTGGAGTGTCTGTGTCATCAAACTCTCCATCCTCGCTTTGTATCGACGTATCTTCGGTATAAACTGGTTGGGTTGGTTCTGTGTTGGCATGACCGCTGCCTACCTGATCACAAACCACGTCGTTCTGCCATTGTACACTCGACCGTTGAGCTACTACTGGGATCAATGGAATGGGGCACACGGAGAGATTCTCGTCGATGAGGCAAAGGTGCGCCGCAGGTACCCCACATTCTGATTGAAGCTGTCTGCTTACGCGATCGCAGTTCTACCTTGGAGCTGGGATCTTCAATCTCTTCGGCGATGTGTGTATACTTTGTATACCCATATCCAACGTTGTCAAATTGCAGATGAAAAGAATGGAGAAAGTGGCGATCTGCTTTATCTTCCTGCTCGGCAGCTTGTAAGCACTGCGAAGTAAGGAAACCGTATTGTTTCTAATCATCGTAGTGTGTGCTTCGCCTCGCTTTATCGTATCATCACCATCGTCCGATTGATGGCCTCGCCAGACGTCAGCTGGAAAAAGAGCGATGTCTTCATATGGTCGTCCGTCGAGCCATCGATTGGCATCATCTCTGGATGTCTTCCAACGCTTCACCCGCTTTTGATTCGTATAACGCGCTGTTTGGCCGGTGCACTCGGTGTTACACCGAGCCATACTCCGAGGCAGGAGGGCCCTGAGAGTCGCGAGACTGGGTCGAGGACGATCAACGCTTGGACAGAACGCTGGGGTAGAACTCGGCCAGCCGAAGAAGATTTGTGCTTGACTACGACAACAGTGTGCGGATCTGCTAATGAAAATGATGGGATCACCTGGCAAGACTTCATCCTGGGACGCCATGAAGAGAGGAGGATTACTATGACGCATGAGTTTGCGATAGACGAGAGCATACGGAGTCGCAACAGCTCAAGATGAGACTAAGCTTTTGCACGTTGCTATGAGATGAGATTTGAAGCATGTATCACCATTGGCAGCTGAAGCGACGAGCACGTTCGTTGGAGGACTTCAGGCGCGAGGTAGAAGGGAAGGCGGCCGTGTTGGCGGCAATTGAGTAGGGCGCGCCGCTGCAGATATTCGGTTTGGAGGGCGAGAAGGGTCGACTTCAACAGACACCATCCGAAGTTTCTGGGATGATGCAGGTGTCTGAGTTGTCGACTTCGGAAGTCCGTCGCACCTGTCGGGTGCATGCAAGCTAGCGCGGAAGGGCCTCCAGGTCACATGTCTGCCTCAGGGCTCGGCGCGACCGCCGAAACCCCGCAATACTACTTCGTCTCTTCTTCCTCCACTGAACTGACACCTGCGCACGATTTATCCGTCAAATATGCACAATGACTGTGAGGCGTCCGGACATAAGCCCCCAATCTGTTTCCTGGCCGGCGCGAGGTGTGACACGGCGTACATGCCTCGAGTTTGCGATGCCACCTGGGCAGATTCTTGGCCATACCACCCGAGAAGGAACTCTGATAGTAGACCCACGACTCATTGTCCCATTGACATTGCGGTCGGCCCGTATGCTACGATTGCAAGAGAATTGAGAAGATCGAGGTGGATCATTCACTTCTACAATCATTGAAGAATGTCGGGATAGGGTGCCGGTCTCCGCATTTCGCACCCCGCATCTTGCTGGACGTGGCTTGTCAAGTCTACCGTGCTTTTTGCACTGAGTATAAAGAGTGCTTGTCGCTAAAACCCCATGATGATCGGTTGCCAAGTCTTTCTTCCCCGTCGATATGTTTCCTACATCACTGGTGTTGCTTGTCTCGCACTTCGCGCTGACTGGATTTGCCGCTGCGTCGTCTGAATTTGAGAAGAGGTGTCTCGCATTCGAGCCCGAGTTACACGTCAAAGGCGCAACCCGCAATGTTCTCCAACATGTTCCGGCAGGGACCAATTTGACGTTTTCTGACAACGACGCGACTTGCGGACGTGCTAGCCAGGTCGTCTCAGTAGATCTTTGTCGTATAACACTAGAGATCAAGACAACTAGAACATCGAAAATATCTTTCGAAGCATGGTTTCCGGAGGACTGGTCCGGTCGCTTCCTGGCAACAGGGAATGGAGGCATTGATGGCTGTAAGTATTGATGGATAGGATGGCGTGTCAAGCGCAGCGAGTGCTGACTTTGATTACAGGCATCAAATACGAGGATATCGCATATGGAGCATCAAATGGCTTCGCTAGCGTTGGCGCAAATAATGGTCATAACGGTACTACAGGAGTAGCCTACCTCAATAATCCCGAGATGGTAGTTGACTTTGCCTGGCGATCGTAAGAATGTCTCTACTACTCACGGCGCATATACTCACCGGCAATATAGTCTTCACCTAAGCGTCGAAACGGGCAAAGCATTGGCCAAGGAGTTTTATGGAAAGTGCCATACCAAATCTTACTACCTGGGCTGTTCTCTCGGTGGACGCCAGGGCATCAAGAGCGCAGAGAAATTCCCGAATGACTTCGATGGCATCGTCGCCGGCGCTCCAGGCGTCGATTTCAACAACCTCATCTCCTGGCGCGCCCACTTTTACACCATCACCGGCCCCATCAAAGGTTCAGACTTCATCTCGAAGGCAGCATGGCAGACTTGGATCCACGACGAGGTGCTACGCCAATGCGATACCATCGACAAAGTCAAAGACGGCATCATCGAAGACCCGACCCTTTGCAAGTTCGATCCTACAACCCTACTCTGCGGTCACAACATCACAAATACAACCAACTGCCTAAACGACAACCAAGTGCAGCAACTCCAGAAAATATTCAGCGACTACCGCTTCCCAAATGGCGAACTGATCTATCCCGCCATGCAACCCGGCAGCGAAATCAACGCCGTCGATAAACTCTACGCCGGCGCCCCCTTCGCCTACTCAGACGACTGGTTCAAATACGTCGTCTACAACGACCCAACGTGGAACGCATCGGAATACGGTTACGATGACGCGCAAGCAGCGCAAGATCTCAATCCAGGAGATATTCGCACCTACCCTTCTTCTTTGCCTGGATTTAAGGAAAGCGGCGGGAAGTTACTCATGTACCACGGCCAGCAGGATAACCAGATCACGTCTTTCAACACCGACCGGTTTTATGAGCACCTTCGCGGTCACAACACGTACGCAGAAATGGATGAATGGACGCGTTTCTTCCGTATCTCGGGCATGTTCCATTGCAGCACGGGGCCAGGGGCGTGGGTGTTCGGTCAGGGTGGAAATGCGGCGCAGGCTGGTATTCCGTTCGATGCGAAACACAACGTTCTTGCGGCGATGGTGGAGTGGGTGGAGAAGGGTGTTGCGCCAGAGGTTATTGAGGGCACGAAGTTTGTTAATGATACTGTGAAGAGTGGAGTGGACTTTACGAGGAGGCATTGCAAGTATCCGGCGAGGAACACGTTTGTCGGGGGTAGTTATAAGAAGCCTGAGAGCTGGGAATGTAGAGCATAGGCTGAGAAACAAAATCAAACTGTCTGCTCAAGTAATGGAAGTCGCGATAACATACTGTTCCTCATTCCGGCCTTTCTTCATTTTGCGATCACCTTGCACAATGAGAATCCTGAACAGGTTTGCAGCATACATTAAAATAAAAGCACGCAACGTAGCTGATCTAACGTCAAAGTAGGCTCCGGGGGTTTTAAGTTTTTTCTTCTTGAACGAGGTGCGATGCTGCCGAACGGTCGCTGTGGTTAATTCAGGGTGCGTACTTCGAGTTCAGACGACGCCGTGGTAACAATGCAGACGCGGGCAATCGACGGCTTTCGAGAAGTTGCCTGATTTGGACTGCGTCAAGCAATGTGCAACAGCCTCGCTCAACCCCTCCAAAGCCTGAGATCTGATCCTCAACTGAAAAGCTTTCATTCGCCAATCCACAAATTCTCTGCTTAGTTTGCGGCGCGTTCCTTCAGTTCTCTGGAAGCACTATCCAAGTGTTTCTATCCTATGACAACGGGGCGGTAATCGCTAAACGAGCTCTGCCACCATGTACGGCGTTCCCAAGGGTAGCCTGTGAGGGCTATATGCTCCGCTTCGCGCCCAGTATGTCCAGCTAGAGGCAGGAGGTCTTGTCCTAGCATATGATTGTTGTACAGGCGTTTTGCAATGCTGGGTAGGTGCACCAAACCAACTCGTTCCAAGACGTCGCCATATGGAGCAAGCACCATCAGATACCCTTCAAGGTCTTTTGAGTGTTCCGTTCGTCCATCGAGCAGAGCGCCTACAAGTTGTTTCGAGCTTAAAGAAGCAGGGTCTGCATCCCAGTGTAGTCCAAAGGCGTATTTGTAATGATCGTTGATCTCCAGCGCCACTTGAAAATGATCAGGATAGCCATCAGTCCAGCCATCAGGCACCAAGTCTAGCTTCGCTGTTCTCGCTGTAAACTCAAGCGTCGGTGGTGCGGGGTCGACATCTTCTTGTAGTGCCGGGTCAAACTTCGACAAATCGCAGCTGAATTTTGGAAAGTGCAGTCGAGCTTTCCGAACCTGAATCAGCACTATAGGAGGCTCTTCGCGATCGATATTACAGGCCCATCTTGACCAGCTCAATGGACCCTCCCATCCTATAGAGGACCAACTTGGAAAGCCACATCGACGACGAGCTGGTTCCTGGTGATACCATGCAAGGGCCATCTCAATTTGCTGCCCATGTCCAAGGACAGAGCATTTATCTCCTTTTTGAGGTATAGAGGGATAGTTCATACTTTGGAAATCCTGCGAGGCAGATACATGGACGCGCTCGACGTCGTTATCGTCTGTGTTGGTGGATCGTCGACTTCCAATAGAGACGAAACTTCCACGATCACGTATAGAATATGTGAGATTGTAGTGTCGAAGTCTTGCCGAAAGAGAATCTGCTGCATACGCAGCAGCGTGGCGAAAAGGTGCACCCCAGGTATGGTAAATGGAATCCTTCCGAAGCGAATGTAGAGCACCTGAGATAGCATCCAAGCTATCACTGTCGTACGTCAAGTCCCGATTGCTATAGGCCTGTAGATGTCCCGCGGCCCGGTCAATAGCGGTCCAGCTCGACCCTTGATCCCCTGCCAACCCATGTTGGGGTAACCAACGTTGAGCCCAATACCCATCTTCTGTTGGCAACTCATCTGATCTGGGCCAGTGGATTCCCGACAAATCTACCTCACACCTGATGTGATTATTGCACACAAAGATAATCTGGTTCTCAGTGAAGATTAAACGCCTCGTGGAATGATAGAATTCCTGGAAGGTCCATGCTCGGGAAGCCCATCTTGACTCAGCTACTTCTGCTAGCTGAACGAAGCGTGGGAGAGGCTTCAGACACATGTTTTGGATTTCCTCGGCTTCCGGTATGAGTCGTGGCCTCGACAGGACGCCGGGTAAGCCATAGCTTGGGTCGCTTCCTGCTGCCGCCACAAGCGTAATCTGTGCTGCGGAATATATTTCGCCCATCTGCCTGACCTGCGTGTGCTTATCCATTCTATCATTCTGGTCGATACACTGGGTTGGTTAGTCTCAACGAATGCACTGAAAGATGGTAGGTACGCACAAATCTGTCGATCCAGAGGTACCGGTATCCTAGCATTTGCGCGATATAGATACTGTCTTCGATAGTCTTTGGTGGATTTTGCAAGTCGTCAAAAGCATCGTTGTGCTGTCCCCAAACATAAGACAGTGCCACGTAATGGCATCCCACAGGCGCAGGCACAACAGTCTTTGAACCACAATCAATCAGACGCAAGTTTTGCAGCAGATGCTGGACGTCTCCAATGTAACATTCGCGGTGTTTTATGTGGCAGTCTTCAATCCAACCTTTGATCTGATCGAGTTTCATGTGGCTGGCCTTGTAAGAACGCTTCTCGACCGAGTTGTCCTCCGGTGAAAAATCGGTGATTGCGAGATGTGGGAACGGGCTCCACTCTCCATCAGAGGCTGTCCAAACTTGTTCTCCAGTCTCCGGATCATGAGGCTTAATTTGTGCAAGGCCTGTGTTTCCTTTTCCTTGAATGTTGGGTATGTTTGAACAGAAATTATTAGAGGTGGTGGAGTCCACTCTAAATCCTACCAGCGAATAGTGTTTGTCTTCTGGGAGGTGCTGGGCTTCGATGATCTTCGCGACAAAGCGACAGATGCGGCAGTGCGATGCTGCTAGCTGAGCCTTCGTCATGTCGATAAGAAGCAGAGTCTCATGAGGTAACTGCGTATATGGGATTTGATCCCAACGGAAGGACTTGCATCTCTGACATACATCATCGTCATCATTACTATGTCCGTCCTCTTGCTTCATTCGAAATTGTTCCTCATCGGCTGTACTCGTGGGGAAACCGTAATCGAAATCGTTTCCGAGACTGCGATTGTGATCACAACCAATCTCCTTGGGAGTAGTACAGTCGATCTGGGCTTCCGAAGGAGCGAGGTCGAGTTTTTTGAATGCGACATCCATGACATCCACAGATGCATGATTTGCGGTGTATTTGGGCCCCTCAGGATCGTGTTCGGGCGCTTCATCCGTGCACTGACCCGGATCCAGCTCAGTTACGCGGCTGCCGTAGATGTGCCCGTCCATAGTCCAGACGATGGGATTGGCGAGTTGAAGAGGAATGTGCAGAAGTACCAAACGAGAAGGCTGGGGAAGGGGGCGGTCGAGTATCGACAAGGTGCATACATCGCTTTATTTGATTGGCTGCCTTAGGCTAACAACGATCCCAGGCAGCTACATCAGGCTGAAGCCAAGGAAAGCGCGACCGGTGAACCGCGCGAGGCGCACGAGGCTGACCAGACACACCCACAACATGCCAAAAGTCATTGCAACTGCCTCGGCACCCACAACTAGAAGGCACCCACCCTAAAACATAAGAGTATCTGATATTAAATATATGCCAAGCGCAACAGCGCAGAACAAAAAGTCTAAAGCCATGTACCCTATATGTAAAATCCGTATACCCAATACTCATACACCCACGCAAACCCATGATCTATTCCAAAGTTGTAAGAAACGCCATCGCAATGCCCACCTATCATATACAACAAATGCCTACAACCTCACCCTCCCCTCATCACCCCTCCCTCCAAACAAGCTCAAGAACCCACTTCCGCGCTCCCCTTCCCCTCTATCTAACTGTGTCCGTCTACTACGTCCAGCCTCGACTTCATCGTCATCACCACCCAGCCACTTCGGCCGGGGGAAGGAAAAGTCATTTGTCTCAAATGTGTTCTTGACTCTCGATGCGAAGTTTTCGAAGAAATTGCCTTCGTCTTCTTCGTCGTTGAGTTGTGGGCGGCGGCGGTCGGGGCGCGTTGTGCTTGGGCCACTGGTAGCTGCTGCTGCGTTTGATATGGGGAGGTTGGAGGCTGACGATGGTGCCGGGTTGTCGGTGTAGCGTTCGTTCGGCGGGCTGGTAGAGCTTCGTTGGGAAAGACCAAGGACGTTCCCGCTCGCGCCCTGGATTTCACGCTCGATTAATGCGCGGCCTTCGCGCCAGGACCCGGTGCCAGCGTAGTTCCCTGCTGAGTCCTCTTCGTCGTCGAGTAGGTCGCCAAAGCCACAGATGTTCTTTACTTTGCCGTAAAGGCCGAAGGCTGTGGCGAAGACGGGAACGAGGATGAAGATGGGGAAGAAGGCACTGAAGCCCTCGCCTAAGGGTGTGAGGACGATAAGACGGCCGAGGAACTTGTAGAACATTGTGCCTTTCCAGATGTTTTTGTCTGTCATGGTGAGGAAGTTGTAGCTTAGAGGTACTGTCAACTTGGCGACTTGGAGCCCGTACCAGGTCGCGGACTCTTGGTACGTATTTCTTCTCACAAGCGCTCGGTTGCCCCAGATCTTGACCTCGGTGAGACTGTAGAATGCGCAAATGCACATGTAGCACAGCCAGGCAGCGGCAATGATCTGGCTGTTGAATCCAACCGACGACCGGCCGTTGTCGTGGCGATGTACGACTGTCCAGCCGATGATGGATAGCTTAGGCCCGCCGAAGTCCTGGGCTTCGCGTACGCATTCTGACCAGACAATGGAGATAGAGGCGAGGATCGTGATGGCCCAAGAGACGTAGGCCAGAGAAGGAATAACATGGACGTGTAGGTAGTAGCGCGTCAGTGGTGTGAGGATAGTCATGCGATCGAACAGTCCTCTCGAGGTTGGTAACGCGGCACCTTTGAACTCGAGATGTTTGCTGGCTTTCGAGTCGAGGATGGCCTGTGTCCTGACTGCCCTCCGCACAACATGATCCCACTCGTTCTCGAACCGACACTTCGCATGGCGCGCGCGCTTCAACTTCCTCGTCAGGTCCGCCAGGTATCTTTCCGTGATGACTGGAGGCACCGTCGCCGTGCCCATGCGTCCAACGACACCCGCCCTGTTCTCCGGAAGATTGCCCTTCTCCGCCAATTCATCAATCCACTCTTGGAACTCCCGCGCCGTGCCGTTCTTCCTCTGCTTGAGCTGCACGACCTGGTATTCGTACTGATCCAACTTCTCCAGCGCCTCAGTCAACCTCTCGTGAACCTTTGGCGCCGAACTCTGTATCCTCTTCAACCTCTCACTAACACTCGCGTACCGAAACAGGCTCCTGGGGAATGCGACGAGTCCGTGACCCATGAGGTAGATACCCAGTATAAGACCCCACGTGTACGCCAGCGCCATGACCAGACTCTTAAAGGTATCCGCTTCGAATCCATTCCAGATGATCAAATAGATCGAGCCAACGATACTGCACCCGGCGACAATGAGCCAGTACCGTCCATTACTCCTCAGCGCATACTGCAACCTCGCCTTGGGCTCTCTGTACCCACTATCGCAGTACTCGCCCAGCATAGGCAGAATCGCCCACGTGAGCGCGAACGTGAGCCAGTAGATGATGCGCCATGCCTTGTAGACAACCGTGTCATTCAACCAGATGCCCCTCGCGCCATCCGTTGTATCCAATCCAGCACTACTCGCGAGATCGATCGGCAGGAGCACAACAATGCTGGCCGGCAGCGCTATTGCCAAGAAGACGGGTACGACGACGTATGCGGGTGTGGTGCGGAGCGGGAGGTAGTAGCGGAGGAGCAGCAGGACGGCGCCGCATATGGAGAGGAGGGAGAGGACGAAGAAGGCGGTTGAGCCGGCCGCTGAGGACGTCATCGTAGTGTGTGGTACGGGGTGCGCATAGGAAAGGCCGAGGCTGTGGCGGTGATGGCGCAGATTATGGCTATGTGTGATGACAGTGAAAGGAAGCCTGGGTGTGGCTGGCCCAAAGATAGTTTGTCAGTTGTCGCGACGGACGGCGTGGAAGCGTCGGAACGCTGCTTAATCTCGGAATGCGGAAGGTGCGCGACCCGGTCGGACTTCTACTACGTTCTATTATTCAATCTTTTCATCTAGAACTTCATAGTTGCTTTCACTGCAAATCCCATAGCTATGCACTTGGCACTATGGTCTAAACATGCGTACAAGCTAGGTCCCTACTCTCGTCCGCGTCGCAATCAGCCGCACGCGTCATGACGAGTCCGCGTCCTTACCCCTGTCTGTCTCTTAGTCTTTGTAAGCACATCACGTCGCATCGCCGATCCATCTCCGACGGCAGTTAGCGCAGTACTTCACGAGTGATTGCATCATTTGCCATCGAGAACGTTTGCTACTGCGGGGGGCAGCTGCACACTAATCCACTACTTGTATACAGTACATCTAGAACCAAGCTCATAAAGCTACTACCATCATCTGACAAACCTCGACTTCACGCATAAGTACGTCACCCCGCCCACCCTTCCAGCATCACAACACAGTACTCACAAATCTCCAGATATCTACAACAACCGCCAAAATTTCCTTCCTGCGTCACTTCTTCACGCGCGCCCCCTCGCCCGCCACAATGTCCGCCACAAAGACCAAGGTCCAGTCCATCATCGACGAGAACCCCGTCGCCGTCTTCTCCAAGTCGTACTGCCCATACTGCCGCCAGGCCAAGCAGCTGCTGAGCGACAGCGGCGCAAAGTTCTACGCCATTGAGTTGGACCAAGTCGGTATGTGAAAGCTGCGAAATGATGTATCGAAGAACAACAGCTAACAGGCGCATAGATGATGGCTCAGCCATTCAGTCCACCCTTGGCGAAATGACCGGCCAGACCACCGTCCCCAACATCTTCATCGCCCAGAAGCACATTGGTGGAAACAGCGATTTGCAGGCCAAGAAGGGTCAGCTCAACAACCTGCTCAAGGATGCTGGTGCCGTCTAAATGCCTACCATAGGAGAGAAGCTGTAGTCACTCCTCGATAGCTGGTCACATAACAAATTGAATGATCTACATCACACACCGTGCACCTCATAATAACGCCAAAGTATGCATTGAAAATCTGCCAGGAATGATTCTAACTGGGTAATCTTTGTGGTTTATTGCTAGTGAGCCCAACTACTAGCCTCACTCAAGTCTCGTAAAACAAAGCTCGAAGCTACACCTACAGGGCTTGCGGCTTGGGTTCTTCCTTCATCCCCAGACTGTTGTCCTGCAGTCTTTCCAGATCATTAACCATCGTTGATGCTATTCATGATGTCATTCTCCACATTCAAGAACACGGGCGAAGCTGGATCTTCTAAGTCTGCATCGCGTCCGTGAAACCTTGTGCGGCCGTCGTCGCAAAGTATCGTACATCCACATCGTCATCTTGCTGGAGCTTTTCGAGGTTCGGCAGAATGCTCTTTGTAATGACATCTGTAGCCTTCTGGCAGCCCTGGCCCGGCGTGCCAGCCTTCTCCAGAGCGATGACGGTACCCTGCTCAGGCAGCTGCTTGAGTGTGTTGATGAGCTGGCCATATGACTTTGCGACGTTGAAGCGAATGTTGGGGATATCGTCGTTGACCAGCTTGTCCATCATGGGAATGATGGATTGTTCGATAACATCCAGACTGAGAGCGGGCGCGAGTGTTGACACGGCGAAGCAAGTCGTCATTCGGTAGAGGTAGTTGGGGTGCTGGCCCATAGCCATGACCTTGGGAACAATAGCGTCGTTGGCCCACTCTACACCGAAGACCTCCGTAAGCTTCTTCAAGTTCTGAGTGGATGCCTCACGGATCGAGAAAACTGTGTCGCCCAACCAGCTCATGCACAGGCTGCTGAGCTTCTCATCGAAGAATTGTACACCGAGTTGTGAGGCGAGGAGGGGAACGTATTCGATGATGGCAAGACGTACGCGCCATTGCTTGTCCTCGGCGAGCTGGACGATCGCGGGGAGGAGGGACTGCGAGAGGAGCTCGATGCCGATGACGTTGTTGACAGACTCGAGCTTGGAGATGATGTTGAGGCGGACGTCGGGGAACTCATCCTTGAGCATCTGGAGGAACATGGGAAGGAGATGCGAGATGGTCCTGACTCGTGTTAGCAGGTAAGCACGTGGTCACGCGCAGTCGCAACTTACTCTTCCTTTCCAAGAATGGGAGCGAGCCCACTGATCTGGGTGCCAAGTGCGGCGCGCACATGCTGTGATTGATCGGAGACCAGCTCCTCTATGCTGGGCATAACCTCGTGCAGGAGAGTCTCACGCTCCAACAGCGCACAGAAGCCTAGTAATGATCAGCCGTGTGCCGCGCG